TCTTTCTAATACAACTGATTTGCTTTCTAATACAAGCCGATGTTGGAGGATTATGTTTAAAGCAAAGAAGTGGTATGCTGGTAGAGCAAGGTTAACTATTTATATGAGTTTGAGGAAAGTTGTAATCTTTTTAGATGTCCATATTCTTTTAAATGATATACGTGCTAGATTGATGGCTGGGATTCTCTGTGTTCTTCTTATTGTTATGAGACTTTTTCTTCAAATTTGGAAAGATGACTTGATGGCCCCAATTACTCAATGGACTGAAAACTCAGTGTTGCATGTGACTTATAAGTAGCTTACTTAAAGACATAGACAATGTTGTTAGTGTTCTTTTTCTTCTTAGTGCTTATTTGGCTTGTTTATTTTTCACTATGCTCACCTAGTTCACAGAGCAAAGCCATCAGTGCATGATGTGATCAGCGTTTTGTTCAGCTTATTGCCGAGCCTGATGTTGTCTGGGGCTGAGAGGGGGTGACTGACCCAAGGTCACCTCACTGTTTTTTTGTGCCATGGGGAGACGAGAAACTAGGTCTCCCCACACTTAGTCCAATACCTTAACCACTACACAGAGTTGGCCCTGCTAGATATAGACTATGGATGGATGATTATCATGAAATATAATTTTAAAAAAATTATATGCACACACATCCATTTTACACATTCACATACCTGTATGAGCTATCTATCAACTTTTCTTAATTAATTAATTAAATTAAGAAAGGCTTTTTAATGAAAACTTTTGGAAGACAGATTCCAGTTATGGTTCAATATGTTCTGCCAGCTTCCGATAGCATTTTGTTTTCACTGTGAATATACAAATTGTTACTTAAGAAATTATAACTAATCATTACAAATTGTTGGAAGCAAAAATTGGAGAAAATTCAATACATGACTAGTTATCTTGAACTGTTCTAAATATTTTAGTTTGTATGTGAGAGTCCAATTTCTGGAAATTAATTTAAAATGAGTGGTAAATATATCTGAGTGTGAATGTAACGTTATGGAAGTCATCAGGAACAACCTTCTTGATGAACTGATTTAGGCAATTGTATTATTAAAATGTCGTATTTCATTAACTTATGCAGATATCCAGGAGTTGGCTCCCAACTTATTTATTTTTCTTTTCTGCAACAAGTGTACCTATCTGCCTGTGAAAAAGAAACAGTACTGTATATGCCTCTTCATTTGACAAGCA